ATGGAGTTGCAGCCTAGAAGTTCATTATAGGCTTCCTCATGCAAGCTCGAACTCAGTAAATGCCATTTCGGTGAACTTCAGTCGACTTCCTTTCTTCTGACATTAGTTCTCAGGGGTATCATCTGCTCAAGTGGTCTGGGCACTTCAGACATGAGCAAATCTCTCTGAGTCAGCAGCTGCAAGCTGACCAATGTCATAGACTTCTGCAATAATGGGAAAAGTTTTATGTCAACGAAAGAACTTCTCCTAGGCTCAATATTTCTCCTGCAAAATTGTCTCACTGTAAATAAACACTGTCTCTCAGTCATAGTTACTTCTACATCAAAAATGCCATCTTCTTCATCAGAAGCATTCTTTGAGACTAACTTCAATTTGAAAGATCAAGGAAGGGTTAGTAGTCATGTGATAAATCCTGATGGCACAGCACCAAAATTGAATTGTTGTAAGGGATTCAGAGGAGAGCTACTAGGATAATACCTGGAATGAATCGGTTGTCGTGCAATGTCGGGTTTATACCTCTGAAATTTTATTTTGAAAATAGAAGAGTTAAAGGGGGTTTGATTGAGGTTCTTAAGATTTAAAAAACTAATAGTGTTGATGCATCATCTTCTTCCATACTTAATGGTGATAATAGTAAGAATAGGGGACACAAGTATAAATTTTGGCAGAAGAAGGAGTCAGCTTCAGCCAAGATAGCTTAATTTTTCTACCAGGGGGTTGATTTTTGGAATACGTTGCCTTCAGATATAATGAATGCAGTTAACTTAAGTGAGTTTAAGGAAAGACTTGATAAACCATTCAAAAAGGACTGGCTTTTAGTGTTCTGTTTTTAAAGTTTACTTTAGTGGATGTAATGGTCTCTGTGGACCAAAAGGTTCTTTGTCCTTAAATTATATGTAATATGTTACAGCATCACAAAACTGTATTTTCATATCAATTGAACAGTGAATAGAATAATAATAGAATAATAGAATAGAATAATAATGTTGTATGTTACAACATCTCAGAGTTTGAAGTGTCAGTATTTACTCCATACATGTTGAATATTTATGAATTACGAACGCATCTGTATGTAACTCAAATACTTTTTGTACTAATAGACAAATGTATTCCTATTATAAGTGTAGCAGAAGACTATTTATTAAAATCATACTTACATATTACATATTTCTTTTTTACCTTAGATAAAATCAAAATTCATATAAAGATTGTTTATTAAAATGTTTCAACCTTAAACTTCTATTAGGTGTTATGACCAGGTCAAACTAATACAGTTACAAATTTACCAAAAAAACAAACTGATAGAATAAGTTGATTTAAGTTCAACTCACTGAAAAGATATTTAATGTAACTATTAAAATGGGTAATTTATTCTCTTAATTTCTTTTGATGTAAAGGTTTTTAAGACTATAAAATAATAAGTAGGTTACCAACCTACAGATAGTAACATCTTGTTTAATAGCTTTTAGTTTTAACCTACAATATGTGAATGTGGCACAGAAAGCCATCACCAGCAGCAACATTTCACCCTACAGTAAGTATGATGATGCAAATATAGCACAGAAAGCCAACACAGCAGCACCATTTTACCATTTTTTATGGTGATGTAAATGTATCACAGATAGTCATCACAGCTGCAAAATTTTACCATACAGTAGTTATGATGTTGTGAATATAGCACAGAAAACCAACACAATATTTGACCCTACAGTAGTTATAATGATGTGAATGTAGCATAGAAATTCATCACAGCTGCAATGTGAGATACTAAGAAATCTATTCACATTATTTTGGAGATACAAGTAATGCTTTTTATTATGTCACACAAATACTGGTTTCATTTTTAAAATGTGCTAACAAAGATTTTAAATCGGGAATATTTTTCATTATTAACAAAAACTAAAGGTGCAAACAGATCTTGTATAAAAATAAATACAGAGTTGATGATGGACAAAATTATACTAGTGAAATTTTAATAAACTGTAACCTGTAACACTACAACTTTTTTAGTATATGCTAAACTAAAAGACACAGGTTGACTAGAGACTAAAATAAAACGTTTTTGGGGGTGGGGGTTTGGCTGCTTCAAAATGACCACAACAAATTTTGGCTGTGTACTCTTTGTACACAAACCAAAATGCAGAAACAAAGTAGAATTTGGGTTTGTAGTTGTTGTGTTTCAACCACAACATAATCTCACAACTGCATAACTGCCAAATAGCATAGTGGTAAGATATAATAAACTACAGTAAAGTTAATAGTACACACATTTAATAATCAAAATATCAAACATAAAAGCTTAGCCTGATCAGATCCTCTATAGTGTGATAGAAAGTAAAATTATATAACCCATAAATGTAGTAATGAAATGTAGGATGAAATGTAGTAATTACAAAAAACACATGGTTGAAACAAACCATCCAAAATTTGAAATTATATTTTGTTTCATAGTACTTTGATTTATGACCTTTGAGAAAGCAACTAAACATGAACATAAACAAATAGAACCTGAAAAATTCTCTTGTTTTAGCTTCTGGTTATTTCCTCATAGCAAAATTTGTTTTTGAGCTTAATACATAAGTATATGTATTTACATTAAGTATATAGCAGGTTGTCAAGAAATTAATGTCTTTTTATTTTAGATGAAAAAACCTGAACAACTTATATAACAAAACAAAACATTTATTAAATGAAGTAGTCTCCATTCTTATCGATGATGCTTTTCCATCTTACAATCAGGTTGTTAATGCCCTGATTAAAGGAATCACTTGGCTTTGAAGCAAAAAACATGCTGATGTCCTCTTCAACACCTTCCACATTTAAATACGTTTTCCTATTAAGATGGTGTTGCAGCAAATGAAAAAGATGATCATCTGATGGTGCCACATCTGGAGAATATGGGTGGGGGGGGGGAGATCTTCCCAACACAACTCCATAATCTTGTATTGTGTCAAACGTGCCACATGTGGACGTGCATTGTCGTAGAGAAAATTAACATCTTTCCGATTGACGAGTGAAGGGCGTTTCTGATGAAGGGCTTGATTTAAATGTTCCAGTTGCTGACTATAGATCTCTGCATTGACAGTTCACTGTGGATTGAGGAGTTTGAAATGAATTACTCCTTTGATGTCCCACCAAATGCAAAGCATCACTTTCTGCAGATGGAGTCCAGGTTTTGTGATTAAAAGTGGTTTTGTCTAGGACTGAGTCATTGTTTCTAGCATTTAATACTTGCATAGAGAATCCAGTTTTCATCACTGGTGACAATTTTGTTCCAAAATGGTTGACGCACATTACGCGCCACAAGAGTCAAAGCCACGTTCACACACTAGAAACGATGATCATCAGAGAGTTCGTGAGGCATCCAAACACCTTCTTTATGGAGTTTTCTCATATTCCTTAGATATTTACGCATTGTTCCATGAGAGAAATGCAATTTCAGGGCCATTTCACGAGTGTGTTGCTTTGTGTTAGACTCAACAAGCGTCTTCAGAGCATCAATATTAATTCCAACATGTCAGCCCCTGCCATCACAGTTTTTAAGGCTAAAGACACCTGAACAAAATTTTCTGAACCACCGTTGATACTTGTGAATGTTCAAAAGATTTCCATAAACTTCTATGATATTTTTTGTGACTACAGAGGCGTTGTTTCCCTTCTTGTATTCAAACAGAATTACATGCTGAAAGTGTGTCTGGTCGTTTGCAATCACTATAAGGCATTAGAGTATACTAAACTTTACATATTATATAGGCTATATTAACGTGACGTTTAAGCAGTTCATTTAACTATTATCATTGATTTATGTTTTTGGGGGGTGGTTAATGAAAGTGTTCCAAGACACAACATTAATTTCTTGAAGACCTAATATAAATGTTTTATGGGTGCCATTAAATTCAACATATGTACCTCATCTCATCATTTTTTTATATTATTTGTAGAATATCTTTCATTTCGATTGTGTCTGAAAATTCAGTTTGTTTAAACACAGCAACTCATTAGATATCTATAGTGTTAAGTTACTCTAGTGTCGATCATCTGATGATGTTTCAGGCTATTTTTTTCTTATGAACTGATTACCACAAACATCACAAGCATATGGCTTCTGCCCAGTGTGGACCATCTTATGTGATTTCAGATTTGAGCTCTGAGCAAACTCCTTGCCACACATCTAACAACTGTATTGTTTCTCCCCAGTGTGGGTCATCTCATGTAATTTCAGATTTCCCTTCTGTGTAAACTGCTTGCCACATACACCACAACTATATGGTCTTTGTCCTGAGTAGATCCTCTGGTGGTTTACTAAGTCTCCTTGACATGTAAAGTTTTTGTTACAAACACCACAACTGAATGGCCTAGCTCCAGTGTGAACGACAGAATGAGTTTTTAGTTGTGATATTGTTCTGATTTTTTAACACACACATTACACAGATATGAACTACTCTCAGTATGGATCTTTTGGTGTTTTTTTTAAACACACAGTCAACAGAAATTTCTTACCACAAATATCACGAATGTGGAGAGTTTCCTTAGTATGGATCATCTGATGTTCTTTTAACCATCTAGCTAAAGAAAACCATTTACCACAAACATTCTGTGTACCCTCACTATGTACATTCTAATGAAACTTTAAGCTATCTTCTCTTGCATATGTTTTGCCACATTCATCACAGCTGTATCGTTTCTGTTCAATGTGGATCCTCTTATGCCTTCTCTGGTTTGAAGTTATTGAAAATGTTTTGCCACAGAAATCACATCCATAAGGTATCTCTCCCGAGTGAATCCTCAGATGGTCTTTTAAGCTATCTTTACGAGTAAAATTTTTATTGCAGACATCACATTGATAATGGCTCCCTGTAGCATGAATTGTCTGATGGGTTTTTGGATGTGAATTATTGTATTTTTTCCCACATTCATTACAACTGTAAGGTTTCTCTCCAGCATGATTTCTATTATGTTCTTTTAACTTGTATTTCCATGCAAATTCTTTACTAGAAACATCACACGAATATCGTTTACCCTTATTTTTTATAGTCTGATACATGTTCATGGGAAAACAATTTAAAATGTTAATTTTGTAATCTCAGATTCTTTTTTTCTCAATAATAACATATTTCAATTATCCTCATGTTGAGAAATTTAATTATTACCTTCACATACAAAGATGTTTGCATTGTAACTTGCTGGTACTCAACTTGCCACTGTCACGATACCTGTAAATGTACTTATGAAGGCAGCACTAGGTAAGACATGTAGAAAACTTCTATAGACAGTTGTGTAGGTCTTTGATCTACAGTAAGTAAATGGAGAAAACAAACCATTACTTCAACAACTTCATACATACACTTCAAAATGTAATAACCTGTAATATAATCTTAAGAGTATCTTTGTACTAATATTTCAAAATGAAACAAGTATATGACCAATCAATTCCACACCTTCATGTATAAACTTATTCTAAATGGAAAATGAATTATATTATATATATATTTGTACCTTTTTTTCTTCCAGTTTTCATGTGAAGAATGAAATGAGGAATAAAGTTTAGCTCTGCCATGTACTGGTCCATCGGGATTTTTAAAAATCTTCAGTACACTATACAAAAACCAATTAAGGAATAATTGAAATTTATAATGTTTTAGCCATGACAAGGCAAAAACCACTATTATAAAACAATGTCTTTAATGGCTTTAAAACTTGACATTTTACCTCGATGTGGAGTGTGGTAGAGCAAACGAAAAAAATAGCATTGCAATGATGATGCATGTTTCAAATGAGGTCCATTGATAAGTCTAAAGTATGGAGATTCCAAAAAGGTCCTACAGTTTAAGTTCTCAGATATAGTATGGTATTCAGGTCCATTAATAAGTCTAGAATATGCAGTTTAGGTTCTCAGGTATGGTACAGTATTCAGGTCCATTGATAAGTCTAAAGTATGCAGAGTCCAGAAATGTCCTGCAGTTTACGTTCTCAGGTATGGCACAGTATTCAGGTACACTGATGCGTCTAAAGTATGCAGAATCCAGAAATGTCCTGCAGTTTAGGTTCTCAGGTATGGTACAGTATTCAGGTCCACTGATAAGGCTAAAGTATGCAGAGTCCACAAATGTACTGAAGAGAATGATTCCAATGATCAAAACAAACATCAGTGGACATATAAAACAAAATATTCATTCACAGTAACTGTTTTTATGTTTATTTACTGACCAGCTTAGCTGTTCAAGTTCACACTAGCTGCTAGAGCTGAGAGGCTTTTAACCTGTTTGCACCAGCCAGAAACAGAAAGAATTACATCATACTTTTCAACCGCAAAAAGAATTAAAGTGTAGTAAACTACAGTCCTGTGCTGTATACATCATCAAAAATAGCACATTCAGTAAAGAAAACACCTAACACTATCAGACAGAAACAGAAAGATTTATACCATGCTTTCCAATTAAACAAAACAAGAGGGAATCTTCAATAGCTGCAGCATTTGAAATTCTATTAGGCAGGATTAGAGTGAATTAATGTATGAGACCTATATTTTTGTGCTGCAGTAATACCAAGTGTGGGGGGTGCTCATATATCTGAATCGGTTTTGTTACTCATCAGGATTTCTACCAACCTACCCTCAAACTGAAATTCTTTTAGGCAGGATTAGAATAAATTAATCTATGAGACCTTGGGCATGGTCAAATATATCAATCGAAAGGGTTTGACCTCCTGAGTAAAAAACTCTAATTATATCTCAAATCAGACAAGAGATGACAGAACTATGAGCTAAGTGTTTCTACTTGGATAAAATAAAAACTCAGAGCTGTTCATCCACACCTAAAAACTCAAGAGTTGTATTCCATAATTCTGAGCTCCTAACATCACCACCTATTCCAAATAACACATATAGGAAAGAAAACCTCTAACTTTTACCACTTTCTATAAGTATCCAAGAGAGAGTGGACATAAACACAAGGACACGCTTCTAGCCATTGCTGTATAAAACCTAAGTAAAAGAAATAGTACATCTTTCAAACCTTTCAACAATCAACAAATGATAATGTTATATCTATATGCAGAACACCGACATCGAAGTTTACCAAAATAAAATATATTCTAAACTACTTTCGGAAGGAAGAATCCAATAGCAATTTCAACTACTCCTTTTCTAAGGCATCTTCAGTCACTTGATGGTAGGTGGTGTATTTCACAATTCAGAGCTACACAATTAGTGGAATATACTAATAAATTAATCATCATGCTCCTTAATTGATTATTCTCATGTGAAACTAATCTTCCTATTATCAGCTTGTTTTAGGATTTTTAAAAAGACATTTTTGACCTACCCTTCATTTAATATGAGACATCTTGAGGAACAACAATTAAAAATTAATATATATGTTAAAAATTTCTTTAAGTGGAATGAAATGGACTCAAAACTTGATAGATATCAAGGATTAAGTTATTTCTTAATCCTAAACTGCTGAAGAGGCAGCATTGTTTAGTAGCTTCATGCTTTTGACTCATAGAAGATGGTTACAAGTTCGAGGCTGGCCTGTATCATGTTGTTGAATCCTTGAGCAAGACACTTTACTCCCAATTGCTCCAGTCAACCTAGATATTAGCTAGGAGTTAACCTGCAGTGGGCTGGCCTCACATTCGGGGGAAATGAGCCACCATTCTCATCCGCTTGTGTTTCTGGAACGAAAGTTGGAAAGCACTGGCCTAAGTGTCTTTTAAAGACACAGTAAAGATTGAACTTTAAAACTGTTGTACCTGAAAATGTATAAAATACATAATTACATACTACAAAATCTGTAACAGGCTGAAAAACATGATTAATACCTTTTTGGGTTTCTCCCTGCAAGTTTTCACAATATTACTCTAGTAAAATAAACTAATTCTTCATTATAAATAATGGAACTTAGATTTCATGTGCTAAAACTAGTAAAGATTCTTATCACAGTGTGTGAGAGATGATACTGTTATGCCTCCGTTCGTTAGTTAACTTTCCGTATAATTTCTTTCCGAAGAAACTTTAGCGAAGCAAGTCCTTTCTTAAATAAAACTGGTTTATTCTTTCTGAATAAAACTTTGCAATACACTTAATTTCAACAGTCGCACTATAACAAACGCTATAATTCACAACGAACGTCTCACGTGCTCGAATCAACAATACATCTCTCTGTCCGCAGTTCAATTACACATTACATTGTTGCCATCACTTCTTGGCCGGTCTTATATATAAAAGAATACTGAAATCTAGTAAACGCTCGAGCATTCAGGAAGAGACAGGATCCTTCTAGAAGTTAATGAGGTGTTACTAGCGTCACGTGACTTCCGCTGTCGTAACAGTGCTCCTTCCATAGTATTGTTCGTCCCGAACAATAGCCACTTACATTAAACCAATAAACAATAACTTAATTAAATGTACAGAATTTACAAACACAAAATTAAGATTCAACAAAGTCTCTTAATTTTACGGGACGTATCTTCTTCCGTACTGGTCTCCGTCTCGTTGGCTTCTGCTTCAAGTGAGGTTCATTTGCTTCATCAGGAAATGT